GCTTTTCATATCTGTTAGAGACAATTTAAGATTCTCTTTTAGATAAGAAACATCACATGTTAGTTTAGCCTGCCTGAAAATTCTCAGAACAGTTTGATTAGCCCATAGTTGGGCAAAATCATCTAACATAAAGTCTGTTTTATAAAAAAGTGTTGAACACCTCATGTAATTTACAGACTGCTCCACTGAATGTGAAAATCAATAAACAGGTATGCTTTCATACCATGGTAAAATAAACTTGTAAGTCAAACCATCATAAGTCTGATATCATCTGAATACTGCTAGATAGCTACCCCTCAAATGTATGTGTAGAATTTACACATACACACATTCGCCAAATATATTCATACAATTACATTCATATTTATTGCATATGGTATATAAATGGGATCAAGAATGTCACACTATTGCTGTAGTGGGAAGACATTTTGTAAGGGTTTATAGAAGCTCTGACAATGTTCACTATGATCTTAGAAGTAGTGTGATAAACATCTTTATATTCCTTATATTTTTACAAATATTTATGACATTTATATTTTTAATATTCTCAAACTGGAGATTATTTCAATGCCATTAGTCATAGAATAGATAAGTAAAATGTCGTGCGTTCAAACAATGAATTATGAAATAGCAATGACAGTGAGCAGATTGCACTTACAAGAATAATTATAAATCTTGCAAACCTAATGTTGAGTTATGAACACTATGAAGCCAAATTGGATCTAGTTACTAGACAATAGGGGCCTATATTCTGTATAATTCTATTTGTGTAGTGTTCAAAAATTAAAATAAATGTATGCTTGATATATGAGGACAGTGAGCATTGTGAGTTGTGACACCAAGGGAGCTCCTCTTGAGGTGCTGGTAATGATCTGGTTCTGGGTATGGTTTCTGCTACAGGTTATCTTCCCCAGAGTCCAGCTACATGGCAGCAGTTGAGTTGGTTGCTGAGAGACCCAAGAGAATACCAGAGATAGTGTGTGAGAAATAGGTTTTATTAAAACTTAATGGGTATGAACAGAAAAGAATGGGCTAGATTAAGATTTTTTTACTGAAAGCATAGGGCTTCATGGTGAATTTGATGGCTGGACAGAAAACCACTAGCAAATCACAGTACTGGGTGGTGGCTGGCTGGATTATATACAGCATATGTACCTGTCAGCTGTCCTGTTACTGGGACAAAATACCTCACACCCACGGTTAAGGAAGAAGTTCAGTTTTGGCTCATGGTTTCAGAAGTTTCAGTCCCTGCTTGGCTGGCTGCAAGACAGAATCATGGTGGAAGGGCATGGTAGAAAAAAGCTGCCCAATTCCTGGAAGCCAGGAAGCAGACCACCAGAGAGATGGATACATCTTTCAAAGGCACAGTCCCCAGGATCCATCTCTTCTAACTGGGCCCTGCCTGTAATAGCACATCTGATCCACTAATGAGTACAGTGTCCCCATGACCCACTTACCATTTGAGGAGTCTCTTAATTCAGTCAAGTTGACAATTAAGATTAATTAGAGTCTGAGGGTCTCCAGGAGTCACTTAATTTAGTCAAAGTGACAATTAGATTAACTGGCACAGCCTCCTCTGAGCTTTTCCATACCCAGCCATTACAGGGTGGGGGATTTCACAGGTTAAAGTTCTATACACAGCGATGACATCATTAGTTTGCTTTGTTCCACTGTATGAATAGCATTCCAAGAAACAGCTGATTTCAACTTGGGGCAGGAAGTCAGTTTCTCTTTGTAGATAATAAATACTAGTTTGCTGGCTTCTCATTGTCTTTGAGAGCACACTTAGGCAGATAGTCCAGTAAGGGCATACTTACAATTCTGTCTTCGCAGAAGCCATGGAAACAGAAAGCATTTCAAGGACAGGATCCTAAATGCCTTTTTCTCAGATGATACAGGTGTATATTGTATGTTGCAAAAGAAACCATTGGTTTGCATATATATGTATTTTCTCAATATTGATAAAAATGTAAGAAAACCCAAACATGTCAGATACTCAAGAAAACCAGCATGGCATTATTTGGGCTCCCTCTTGGACCTTCTACCTCCTCGAATTTCCAAAGAATCTTAAAGATTTTCAGAGTGCAAAAGGAGGAAGGGAAGGGAGAATCAATACACCTTCTAAACACAACAGGAAATGACTTCTTGCTGAGTCTATTGTATCAGTCGCTTCCAGAAGTAGAGTCTATGTTAATACTTATTCTTACACAGACCAAAGTATGATATTTTCCCATTATCAATCCAAGTAAACTTTTCAGCTGGACTTTGGTATTTGTTCTAATTACTTCTAGAGAAATTGATGTGTCCGTAGCACTGTGTTTAGGCACAGGGGAGGAAATGGTCAAGCGCCAGTGAGTATCCACATCCTTCTCAGACAATATGACCATAGGACTTAGCATCCCTACTCCCCAGAAGGAAGAACCGACTCTACATGTGGCTGCTGCTCCCTGCTGTTCAGGCTAACTCTATACACAGAGACCCGGAGTGGGCTGTGGGCTCTTCACCTCCAGGGCTGGGGCCAAACAGATATTCAACACTCCCTTCCACTGGAACAGAAAGAAAGAATCAGAAGGCCAAGCAAGATAGGATGTGGTCACATTCTGGCTCTCTGAGAAAGCACTTCGCATTGAGAGAGGACGGTAGTATCTAAAATTTTCTTTAACCAACAGCATTATGAGCAGGATGTGGTTGGGGGGAGCTCCAGCCCAATCCATGGGCCTTAGGAACTGTGGCTAGGAGGAAATTGTGTTTACAAAGAAACATCCGTGTGAGTGCAGACACTCATTCCCTGCAACCACTTCCATACCTTAACTCTCCCCACCTGTAGCCTCTCACCTGGCTTGAACTTTGTATTTCTTCAGGAGACCCAGGGAGATCAGCCTCAGGGGTTTGAGGGTCATCTTTAACCAGAGAGAGAGAGACAGAGAGAGAGAGAGAGAGAGAGAGAGAGAGAGAAAGAGAGAGAGAGAGAATGTGAGAATGTGTGTGTGTGTTTACTTGATAGACCCTACCAGCAGCTTTCAGGGATCTAGGTTAAAGGTGAGTCCAAGAACAGATGGCTGAGAACAAGGTGTGCGCATAGATGTGTTGGGGGCGGTGGTGATCAGAGGACTCAGTGGTAGGAGAGCAATTCAAAGGAAAATGGGGTAGGGGAGAATGAGACAAGGCAGAACCATTCAGGGTTGAGGAGTATGAATCTGGGAGGAAAGGAAGGGGTGAGAACAGGGAGAAGTTTCTTTTTGTCAGAGAACCAAGGGAATAAATGGTGACATAAAGGTTTGAGAGAAGGAAAGAGAAGGTTAGGAAGTTGCAACATATTTGTCTCTAGAGCAGTGATGGCACAGTGGGTACACAGTGCCCTGGCCATAGGCACAGGAGCCAAGGCATCCCAGTCAGCCAAGATGCCGCAGCATCACCCCAGCCATCAAACTTTCAGGTTTAACTGCGGTTGGCACTTTGTGACAAATAAGTGAGTCTGGATTGTAGTCTGGGCAACTTCATCCCTAAAATGTTCTCCCTCACTGCTCTAGAGGAAGCCTGTGTTCCGTCCCTGGCTTCTGACCTCAGAGACTGGCCCCACCCTTCTGGATCTCTGGCCGAAGAGGAGGTCAGATGCTGGGCCCTTTGTTAGGGAATTGATCATGTTAAAGTATGCTGTGACGCTGCCATCACAGGCTGCATTTTCCTACTTCTTGGCTCCAAAAATGACCTCATGTTCTTATCTTTAGTTTCCCTCCCACCAAGGCCAAAGAGGGACAGATAAGTTGAAACCTGTCTCTGCAGGGCTGGATCCATAAAAGGCAACCTGGCCTGTGATAGGTTAAAAGTAGTTCACTCCTCATAAATAAGCAATAGCCCAGCCCAAGGCTGATAAAAGGACCTTCCTTTCTTTATTCTTCTCTTCTTCTTCCTCCTCTCTCTCTCTACTCCCACCCCTTGAATAAAATCTCCAGTCGGACCTCTCGGTGTGTGTGTGGCCTAGTTGTTGAGTGTCGCTATTCCCTTTCACCCTTCTCTTCCTAGAGGTTGCCATTTGACCCTGTTGTAGTCCCTGCTCCTTTTCTCCCTGCCCTCCCATCCTGAGACCCTTGCTTCAGAGGCACAGGCATTACCTAGCTGAAGATGCTTGAGAGGACTTGCTAATGGCTGATCCCAGGCACTTAAGATAGCTCCTTTGTTTGGATTTTTCATGTCTTTCCATTTTGTTTCCACCCCAAGTCATTCAGCAGATGGGGAAGGGAGTTTGGGAGAATGCAGCCTGGTCATACAGGAAGGAGATAAAACTCATACCTATCACTCCTGCTGGCATGTTTTCACTTCCACAGCCTCCCCTCACCTTGGCTGACAGGTTGTAATTTTCTGCAGAAGCTTCTGGATAGACTGGGTCCTTCTAGTTTTCTAGGCCTCAACTGCTCACTTGGAATTCATGCTGTCAGATTTCTCCAGGCTCAAAACCTCTTCATAACTGTGGATATGGTCACAACCAGTGCACATAACGCTCCTTCTCTAGTACACCCTAATAGAGACAGTATGGAGACATTTCAGCGTGGAACGAGGTTAGAACCGGATGTTCTAGGGGGAGTAGGAATTTGCCACTTTACGAGAACATTGAAATTAGGGAGCATCCCAGCCTTGGGCTTCCATAGACAGAGCTCCAGGACCTTCAATGCTGTCACTGTTAATCTGAGAACACACAGAAAGTGTCTGAGATCTTTGAGGAGCATGGATGGCAGAGGTCCAGAGAGCTTTATGAGCCCCTGGATGGGATTTTCTTTCAAAACAGGAGTTTCCTCAGTGTGAAGTAACGTCCCTTTGGGAAATGATCAAAGCTTAGATAACCTTCTATCACCATACAGACTGCTAAGGGGAATTACAGAAAATATTCTTTACTGCATTCTTCAAATCAGAAGTGGGTAGGGCATTTCAGGCAGAAAAGAAAAACATATGCAATATTTCAGACACATCAACATTAACCATGTTTAGAGTTGTTAAGTATTTTGGGTTTAAGAACAAGGACCGAACAGGACAGACAGAGGCAGAATTTTTTATTTAAAGAGCCCTTTTGTAAACTATGAAAAATGTAACAGAGATCTGACCAAAGGTAAACAGCTTAGAGATGCAGAGAACAAACAAGTAAGTCACACAAAGGTGGCAGAAAAATGTTTTGGCTGACACAGGGGAGTTGGGCTAAATATGCAGTCTGTTTCACTGGAGGGAGTCCAAAGCAGGCACACTGATGTTGAAGGTCATGTGATATTGACTTGGTTTTGTGAGACAGGGTCTTGCAGTTCAGCCTAGCCTTCAACTCACTATGTAGCCCAGGCTGGCTCTGAACTTGCGGTGACCCTCCTGCCTCAGACACTGACCTCCTTCAGGGCGTCCTTCTTAAAGCCTGTTTGCTGGGATGCTGCTACCTCTACAGAGACAAGGTGGCTCTTTCATGGGAAAGAGAGGCAGGGTCTGCAGCCAAGAAGAGGCACCAACTGGAGAGGGTGGCAGTATCCCGAGAAAGCCATCAACAGTGGATCCTGATTGTCACATTTTCAGTGGACAGAGGGTCAGAGGGGCTGAATTTCTTAAATTGTCATTGAAACCAGGATTGAAGAAGGGCCGTACAGGTCCATCAAAAGCACATTCAGAGAAGGTATAGATGAGGGAACCATGGTCAGTGGTATTGTAGAAGGAGACAATACCAGCCTCACAGTCCAGGAAAATTCCGATTTGGTGCGGAGGCACCTGAAGGTGGAGGGGAGTCTGGGGATAGGTGCCAGCGTAGTATTCTTCTTTTTTCCACAACCAAATTGTCCAGAAGCCATTCCCAGGGTTCAGCAAAAAAATTCCTTTCCTCTGCACAGAGTTTCTGCAAACTCCTAGGTCCCAGGCCTCCTTTCCTGTCACATCTACCTCCCAGTAAAATTTTCCAGAATTGAAACTTTGGGCACCCAAAACTATGGGATAATTATCAAATCGCTCTTCATTTTCAGGCACTGGCTGTCGGGTATCTCCGAACTTCACTTGTCTCCGATCCTCTGAAAGAACAAGCCACTGATTGGCGGTGTCTTCATCCAGAGTGATGTGTACTGCAGAAAGAGACCACAGGCAGGCCTTGGATCAGTAACGCTGGGGGGCGCTAGTGTAAACTCCAGGGTGAGAGGGTTACCCCAAACCTCACCATGAGGAGATGTCCCCAGCCACTCCTTTGAGGGAACATTCCTTGCCTCGGTCTGTGTCCTTCCACTGGACCTGCCATCTCCCCTCTGTGCTGCTGTCTGTTCTCCCCAATCCTGGGATCCTCCTACACTCTCATCATGCTCTGCACCAGCCCTACAACTCCTAGAGGTCACCTCACCTCCACACATCCTCAGCATCTTCTTCAGCCCCGGAACGCAGCACACACTGCTCAGGGGTGGGGAGGCAATGTCCATCTTTGTCAGGTTCCAGGACTCACTCCTGGGGGGAAGAGAATTTGAAACTCATGTCATGCACTTCTACTGTCTATTCTAGACCTTAATAACCTCCTTGGCTGAGGACTGATAATTTAACTCAATATAAATTTGCAAACATCTCATGTTCAAGTGTCCAGGGAAGAGGCGAGAAAAGTATACTTGGTTTCTATACAGAAGTTCCTGTTTTCATGCCTCTAGCAGGTGGACATCCTGTATCTTCTCTCCAAGCCTGAGTTTACTATGCAGCTGCCTTTTCATTCATTTTGCAGGCAAGTCACATGATAACGGACTGAGTCACTTCTGTGGGGGAACCGTGAGGAGTCCTGCCTATGCTGTGGGGCTTACTCACAGATCATTCAGAGGTCTGTAACTGGATACAGTCCAAGGCAGGAAGAAGTCTCAGCAGACAGTGGACTCAGAACTTTCCAGAATATTCCAATTTGTTGGGCTTTACTGCATGAAGATGTTATAGTCCAATTACCTTGGACAATTTACCAATTGAGATATCCATTTATTAGCTTTCTGAGACAATGTTTTATAGAGGGTCTTTGAGAGTAGGGAGGTAAATGAGGGAAACTTCAGTGCATCTATGTCTAAGACAGTAACTTTTTGCTTTTTGCCACCTTCTCCTCTAGCAGAGAAAATCTCTCCTTACCTCTTCAGGAGAATTGTCACCTCCTAAGAAGAAAAAAGAGAGAGAGAGAAAATAAGTTCTGCGATTTCTGGTTTGCCACCGAGACTCTAGTCCTGTGGGTGAGTGACCCTGAGGACTCCGTTCTTCCCTATTCTTTGTGGGGTAACCAGAAATGCAGCTTGGTTGTGATCTATACCTAATGAAGGATCACCAGCTTAAGGACTCTGATTGGGGAACTAAATTAGAAAGACCAGCTTCTTGAAGGGAAGAGACTGGAAAAAGAGGGCTGAAGAGAGCAAAGAGCCCAGCTTAGCATCACAGGGAGCAACTGGCCAGAATAGGATACTAGAGATTGTTCCTGCTCACCTGAGTGTTTCTGTTGCCTGGAGAGGAAGGGTTGTCAGCTAAAGCTTTGTTTTTGTTTTGTGTTGTGGTTAATGTTGCCCCCTCCTTTCTGTGACGTCAGTTGAACTGGGACTCTTAGGTTGCAAAGGTTGGGCGCCCTTCCGTAGGAACTGGGAGGCTCCTAAGCCCAGGCAAAAAGGGTACCAGAAAGTCCAGAGAGCCTGCCAAGTCAAGCCCATGCAAACCAGAAAGGAATAATGAATCTGAGAGACAGGGAAGGTACGGGAAAAGAACAGTATAATGTTAAAGCAGGAGGGAGTTCTAAGACCATCTAGTCATAGTTAGTTTTCCAAAGTGAGGTGAATATATCATTGATGGATGCAAGATGGTCTTAAGTACCATACACACTGATGCTTTTCAAAAAGTTATGCATGTACTTTAATCTTTTTTTTTTTTTGTACTGAGGATCGAACTTGGGTCCTTGCGCTTGCAAGGCAGCCAGAGGCACCACTGAGGTAAATCCCCGGCCCTTTTAATCTTAACTCTACCTCTTCCTACTCAGGGGGAATTGATTAAATATTTAGTTTTAGTTTCTTTCTCATTCTCTTCTCTGTTCCTTAGTTTTTTTTTTTTTTCTTTTAGTAGTGTTGGGGATTGAATCCAGGGCCTCACATATGGTAGGCAGGGACTCTACCACTGAACTACATCCCCAGATCTAGTCTGCTCATCTTAAGATGGGCTAATAGTAGCACCCAACTGAAGCCTGACATGTCATGTGTGCTACTGAAGAATCTGCAGGCACTGTTACGAAGTAAGTTAGAAAACAATGTCAGGAACGTTAGTGCACGATTACTTGGCTAATATTGCTTTGGAAAAATTTCTTTTACAACTAACTTCATTCAACTAGGAGGAGACCAACTGAAGAAAAATACCATGTTAAAGTCATTTTGTTTGTTCACAAAAATAACAGCAAGTATAGGACACATTTCTAATTAACATTAAGCGAACTCTAGTTACTTAGCGCACTCTTTCTTGTTTCACTATTGGAGAAACTGGGTCTTGGAAAGGAAAATGGTTTAACTTAGAGTTATGGAGAGAACTGGTAGCAGGGCTAGATTTGGGCTTCTTTCTCTTAACTTTCAGCTTCTAGTGTTATATTTATTAAAATCTTCTGATGGCCAGACATTTATCTAAGAGCTAAAATGGATTTTATCATTTAATAATTACAAATATTCTGAGGTATATAATGATATAATATCCACTTAACAAATGAGAAACCTGATGCTCAGAAAAATTATAGAGCTTTCTCAAGCTCCCACACTTGGTGGAGGAGTAGGCAGTTACCAGCCACGTTTATTTCTGTCAATTACTGGACAGAATATTCCCTCTTACACTTGTATCATTTTGTGCCTTGCATAGAAAGCATTTAAGGGTCTGAATTCTAGTTTATTTAACAAGATTCTGGATTAGGATGCAGCTGGCTCTAAGAGTGGCTCAAGAGAGCTCTGACTTTTTCTCAGTTACTCCTTGAGATTCTGGTCTTACCTGCAGCAGCTCTAGTGCAGAGCCCCGACTCCTCTGCTCCAGCTCTGAGATCAGTGCCTGCAGGGCCTGGCTCTGTTGGGTCATTTCAGTCTCTGTTTCCCCCAGAATTCTCAGCTGCTCCCTCTCATCTCTTTCCAGCTTCTGCAGCTGCCTCTGTTCCTCTTCACACAGGAAGTTTCTCTGCTGCACAAACTCTGCATGAATCCTCGATTTGTGTGTCTCAATTTCCCTCTTTAGTGTCAAAGGAGAGAGAGAAGTGGATTAACCAAAATTTCTTAAGCTCTGAGTACAGAGGTGTTGGTACCTGTTTCTAACCCTGGAGACTCGCCACTCCGATTATATCTGGGACTATATACACACACATGCACAATTTTGCTGAGGTAGGTGAGTACAGGAGACTTCTGGGAGTAAGGGAGAATAGCACTGATTTGAGGGAATCCACTGCAGCTAACCTACAACCACAGCTATATCAATCAATGTATGGTAATAGCAGATACTTTTTTTAACCTCTTCCAAAAACACAGTCACTGCCCAAATGAGTCCCTCTATCTTTGCATCTTAGTAAGTTACAGGCAGAGTAAAACCTGTACCCACATCCAACAACTTCACATAAAGAAATGCTCACTATACCATTCCTAAGTCTTGGGGAAAGGAGGGCCTTGAGACACACTTTTCTTGTACTCTCCTGATAGTAACTGGAGTAGACCACACAGAATTGCTACCACAGACTGACTCAGGCTTCCTTAATCCCAAATTTTCTTTTGCTGGGGTGTACTGGCTATGAATACCTCCTACACTTCTTTATTCCTGGACACACCCCACCTCTACTTGCAAACCACTAGTGTGTGGAAGAGGCTTTAACTCTCCATTATACTTTTGTTTGTTTTTGTTTTTTCGGTACTGGGATCGAACTCAGGTCCTTGTGCTTGCAGGCTCCGGAACCACTGAGCTAAATCCCCGGCTCCATTATACTTTGGATCAGTGACCTGGAAATGGACAAGCACCTAGTCAGACTGGTTTTCCTAATTGAGATTCTGACGGATCCCTTCAGTCTGATCTTCACAGCTCTTGCCATTTCCTACAATGCATAATAGTTAAGCTTCTCTTCTGGGATACTTCTATCCTTCCTGAGACTGGGCTGAGACAGTAGAGAGCTTTAAAGTACAGCCTGAACCTCCAGCACCTTCTTTAATGATTTTGCATCTTTGTGCCTGATTGACAACTCTCCTTTGAGTCTCCAGTCTTTTTATCTCCTTCTATCTGAAGACCTAGAAGTCAGGTGGTTCTTGGAATGTGAGTTGTACTAATTCCATAATTCCCCACATAGGCAGAGCTATGGTTAAGGGTTTCTTGAGTTCAACACCCTGGACCTTGCCCAGCCTGACTCTTGCCTTCCAGTCTGCTCTCTTCACTGCAAGATCCACTTCAAACTTCTCAACCAATTCTTGCTGTCTTCTCAGTTTCTCTAATGCCACTTGGATCTTCTCCTGTAGCGAAAGATAGAACGTTACTCTCCAATCAGACTAAGGAGTAGTGGTGTGGGTTGGGGTTAGAGTATACTGGTTCTTAGAAAAAGCTAAGTGCAGAGGAGGAATAAGGACTAGACACTGATTGAAGAAGGAATTCTCTTAGGGGGACTAAGATAGGGGGACTTGGGAACAAGACTAATGTGTTTTTCAAAACAGCTAAATTCTTGGGGTGGCAGAATGGGAGCACTACTCACATATAATTAACCAGGAGGCTATAAGAAAACATGATCTGTGTAGCATTTTTTCCATAGCATATGTCTTGCTCTTCAGGAATGAGAAGGTTATGTTTAATCTGCAGTTTTCTCTCAGTGAGGGAACGAAGTATCTCTCCTTTTCCCAACTTTTCAACTCTAGCAGTGACTTTCTCCCACTACCCAGTCAGGGGAACAAGGTACTCATCAGGGCCCAACATACTCCTTGTTTGTGTCTTGTGCTACAGCTCACCTGGTACTCCCGAGCTGCATCTTCAAGAGGGACCATGGTGTGCTTTTGGTGTTTCTTGGATTGGACGCACACCCAACAGAGGGCCTGCCCATCTTTCTCACAGAACAGGTGAAGCCTCTCTCCATGTACCACACACTGTTCCTCCTGTGTGCCCTGCTTGGCATCCTGGTTCATTTGTCTGAGCATGTCCACCATGTTGGCTAGCTGCCGATTGGGCCTGAAGTTCTTGAGAAGAAAACACTGCCGGCACTCTGGACAGACACCACCTCCACTTTTCCCCACCTCAGATATGCATTCCCGGCAGAAGCTGTGGCCACAGTCAATGCTCATAGGTTCCACCATGGGATCCAGGCAGATACAGCAGGTTACCTCCTCCCACATCATTGCCAAGGGCTTTGCAGAGGCCATGGGGCACTGTGCCAGGTGTGCACCACTATGGAGACCTTGAGCGGGCTTGGTGGAGAGGAAAGGGAAAAGAGAAATTAGAAGGTTTACATGAGAAAAACAAGGCAAAGGAGAGAACACACAGGAGGATGAACTGGAGGGGTGGGAACAAGAAAGGTGAGAATACCAATCTGAATATCAGGACCCTCTTCTCTGCAGTCTGCCCACTGATCTAGTTAGGCAGAGGAGAAACAGTCTCCAGTAGAGGCAGAGAAAACTGTTGGAACTGCAGAGAGAAAGTTGTTGACAATTCTATTTTCACCACACCTACCTGGGCTTAAATCCTCAGTATCCAGACTTTTCCCAAGCATTTTCTCCCATCTCGTTCTACCAAGCCTCCATGTTGCTAAGAAGCTAATCACAACAGCGACCACTGGCCATGCAACTTCCATGTTCCAGAGGTGCTACCTGCTTCGCATACATCTGCATTCATCTTTACAACAATGGCAAGAATCAGGTGTACACGAGGCCACATGCCACATATGATGCTTTGGTCAGTGAAGGGCTGGCTGTACAACAGTGGAGCAATAGGCCACACTACACCCCCAGACGTGGGATGGGCTGTCACCCGGGTTTGTGTAAGTACACTCTGTGGTGGTGGCACAACCACAAAATCACCTAAAAGCTCATTTTTCTCCACAGATCGTATCACATCTTAAGGGAAGCTTTATTTATTTTGATATATTCCTATATAAAATGCATATTACATACATATGTACGTAGGTATACGTGTGCTGAACACTACCTGGGCTCTTTGAGCTGCTCCAAATTTCCTCTAGGGCATAAAGCATCCTGAACCCTCACATATTTCTATCGGAACATCTTGCTCCTCTGGGCTATCACTTTCCGGGCTGAGAGTCTCACTGGGTTCCCCGGTCTGGGTTACTGTGGTTCCGGTTCTCCCAGCTCAGGTGCCAGCCTCAGAGCAGCCCAGCTCTTTCCAGGGCACTCGGAAGTCACTTTCAGAGCCCACCCTCCGCTCAGGCCGGCCAGGAGGAAGCCTGGGCTGGGGGCGCGCGGAACCTGCTGTGGAGAAGGTGCCCAGGGGACGGCAGGTGCCAGGTGGCGACTGGCGGGAAGGAGCTCTTCAAATCTGGGTCGGGGAGCGCAGTCCCCAACGCAGGCCGGGGTACCTGGGCGAGCCGGCTCCACTCACCTTTTCTGGGGATTCGGAGCAGGGAGCCTCACTTTCCCGGAACTCTTCGAGGCCACCAGTTCCCTATTTCACTTTCAGTTTCCTCTCAGGGAGGGGCGGAGCAATGGGAGGAGAAAGAGTGGAAAGACCAGGGGAGGAGCACAATGGAGAGGCGGAGCAGGGCAGCGGGGCCACAGTGGGCGGGGAGAGGAGCCCGCAGCTTCTGCGGCTGCCGGCTGCGACTGAGCAGGGGCTCAGCCGAGCGTTGTTTAATAACAATTTTTACAGTTAATTTACAAGATGAAAGAGTCCACGTTGCTTTCTTTGACACTGCTGGTTGCCCTGAATCTGGACCCTCCGTCCTTCAGTAGCGTCTGCTCTCATGCAACCATCTACGTCCTACTGATACAAGACAGGTATAACTCCACACTGATGTGTCGAGTCCAGGTGCCCCGGAATGGAAGAATGAATTCCAAGGAATAATGGAGGTTGAAGAGTGTGAAAGATGGGGGGGGGGATGGAGAGAGAACTGACTCAAGAACTCAGGAGTGCCAAGCTCAAAGGAATAAGGCGCACACATTTGGGAACTGGGGGGATAGGAATGGGAAACAGGAATAGCTCCTCAGGGACAGGAGGGGACCCGAGTGGGTTGGTGCAGCGGTCACCTCTGTTTTACACGGGAAAGTCACTGAGCTGGGTAAAACGTAGGTCAAACGATAATCATCCGATAAGATTACAAGTATAGCCGCTTAGCTATATGGATGACGTTGTTAACTTTGGTCTATAACCTATAGTGTCAATCTTGTCTTTAGTCTTAGTAACCCCAGTTTTAGTGGGTAGGAGAGGATGACCCAGCCCTAGTGAGATAGTGCTTTACTTCTATGGGAAATCCCAAAAGGGTGGTACCAATTGCAGTATAGTGATCTCAAACTTCCATTTATCCCTTAGGGATTATAAAAAGCTGGCCATTGTGACTTCAGTCTCTTCCTCAGATGCACCTCCAGCCGTAATTTTGATGTGTTCTCATCTTCTGCAGTCTCCCTGGAGGGCTTTACCCTGTCTGATGGCCTATTAGTTTCTATCTAATGTGTTTATAATTCTACTTCCAGAAACAAATTCCTTTTCATGTGACTGACATTTTACTAAATCCTGAGGCTGAGAGATTTGTTCCACATGATCTCCATGAGTGGTAAGAAGGGAATTAACATTTATCAAGCACCAACTGCTTTCTTGTTACTGAACTAGGGAATTATTATTATTAGTTGTGATGAGATACTCTGAACATGAAGGTTAGGTGTGCAAGTCAGTGTCACTGAATACACAGTGCTGTGCAGCCACCACCATCATGTCTCTAGAACATTTCCATGGGCTTAAACAAATCTGTGACCTTTAAATATTAAATGTATCCATTTCCAGCCCTCAGTCCTTGGAGACTACCATTCTATTTTCTGCCTGTATGAATTTGAGCACTCTAGGTGCTTGGTATAAGAAAAATCATGAAGTATTTTTCCTCTTATGACCAATTCACTTGGCATGATGTCCTCAAGGATCATATGTCAGAATTTCCTTCCTTTTTAAGACTGAATGATATTCCATTATATGTACATATAGTGTATGCATTCATCTGTTGCTGTGAACAGTGCTGTGGTATCAGGTTATTTTATTTAAACTACACAACAATTTGATGATTTGGGGGTTATTATACTTACTCACATTACCGGGGGATGAAACTCAGGCTGAATAGAGCACACCCACTTTCTGTGGTGACACTGTGGGGATAGGAGCATGGAAGTTGAAGGTATAGGAAAGGTCTTCATTTAGTAACAGCCCGGAGATAGCAAAGCTGCAAAGCAACTTGAAAGGGTTGGATATAAATTGCACAAGAGAAAAGGGAAAGGCTGGTAAGGATGGAATTCTGAATCCCTTCCTATTTAGACATCTTGTCTTTTTTTTTTTTTGGTCCCTTATAACTTAAGGAAAAACATTAGTTAACCTTTCTTGATATTTATTATAGATTTAGGAGCCCTTAAAATACTTCAAGCTTTAAAATTTCCATTTCTATTTAAGAGAAATTTTTCTCAGTGAAAGGAAATTGGGAGACAGCTATGTCCAGTTTGTGCTCCTGTGTTCAGATTTGGTTTCAGGAAGATAAACAGCTCCACCAAGCAGAATAAAAACAAACAAACAAAAAACCAGAGAGAAGAGTTCTGAACCTGACTTTGCAGACACTCAGATATGACTTCATTTCACATCCTTGCTGACCTTTTATTGTTTTCCTAGCGGCACAGAGCAAGTCATTGTTGAGGGGTAGAAAAGCACAGAGGTCTCAATACAGCGAACATGGAGTCAGTGCTGACTCTGCTACTTGGTGCCTATCTAAATTTCAGTTTACTTATCCGCTAAACAGATAGGGCTGTTTTATCTATGTTCAACAATATGCACACCAATAAATTAGCAAAACGGACCTAGTGGTGACAACTCCCCTTTGGTAACAAATTCCCTTCTCTCACTGCCGCTACTTCTGTGTTCTTTTCTTGGTGAAATGACTGAAATCTTGACTCCTAAAGAATCAGTGTCCTTAATGTTTCTGGCCAGCACATTGGCTATTGTTATTGGATAGTGAGCATGAGTAATCTCCCCAGTGTATATGAGGTATGGTTGAAAACTATGACGAATGTTTAAATTAAAAAGTGTACTACAATAAAAGTCATATTGCCACTAATGTCCCTTAAATTACTCCCCCACACTTTGAATGTTCTTATCCCATCATTCTTACGATTTTCTGTAGCAGTTCTGGAAAGCCTCTTTTGTGTCTTTAGTTGTATTTTGTGTGTGTCTTGATGTCCTGAATTGATTCAAAATGTTTACTTTTTATTTTGACTTTGGAAAAGAGCCAGAAGTTGTAAGGTGCCAGATTTATTGAATAAGGTGGATGAGGACATACCATAATATTTTTATTTGACAAAAATATCCTACATGTTTTGAACTGATTCACGACATCATGGTAGGCTTGAAAAGACACCCATAAAAGAGGACTTTAAGAACAGCTTCAAAAAGTGTCAAGAACAAAGGGATAAATGCGTTCTAAGTGAGGGGAGAGTAGTTTGAAGGGGATTAATGGCAATGTGTCTTTTCACATAATAAAAGTTTTACATTTAAACATTAATGTATGTTTTGATCACAACACATATTTTGGGTTTTAGCTGTCATCCTCATTGCCCCTACACGTATCAGTAATCCAAGTTCTCTCTTTTATTTTGGTACCGGGGATTGAACTCGCCAAGTTCTCCTTAGTAATAGGGATAAGTCACTCCGGTCAGTATAGGAAACCTGTTCCCTTGCCAATTTCTTCAGTGGCTTAAGAAGTTCCAAAGAGCCAAAGGCGCGTACAGATTTCCATTTACTGGAATCAGGTTGTGTCCCTGGTGGAAGAGCTCCCCCATTCCTTTTTTAAAGTAGGATGTCCAGATTGGCTGAGCCTATGTTGAAGGATGGAAAGAAAATGTTGTATAAATAAATTATTAGCTTGATAAGAATAGGGGCCATCTCTACCTCCTGTCTTGTTTCTCTCAATAGTGTGTTTATACTGGATATGAAAAAATGCTGCTACATATGTGCTGCTAATTTTAATCATGTACTAGAACTTATGGTATAACTTCCCAATCTCATAGGTGAAGTCTTAGTTCATTTCTGCTGCTATAAGAAATATCTAGAACTGGGTAATTTATAAACAATAGACATTTATTTCTTACATATCTGGAGGATGGAAAGTCCAAAATCTAGGCACCAGAAGATCTGGTGTCTGAGGGCTTGCTCTCTTCCTTAAAGATGGTGCCTTCTCATTATATCCTTCATGGTGCAAGGGCAAAGGGGTTAATTTAAACTTCTTCTCTATGGGCAGTAATTACATCTTTATGCTATTACCATAGTTTCAACATATGAATGGGGACGCTGAACCTGTAGCTCATAGCAGGCAGAGTTTCCAAAGTGGTGCCATGCTTGAGCATTGACCAAGTTCTTCTCTAGTTCTATTGGCCATCTGCTTCCAGCTGATGGGATATGTATAAGTTGCATTCCACAGGGTAGTTCCATTATGAAGACTCTTAATTATGAATTCTGATCTTTGGTTGAAAGTGATGCTTTTGTAGGGCTGGGGATTTAGCTCAGTGGTTCTGGTGCCTGCCTCGCAAATGCAAGGGCCCGAGTTCGATCCCTGGTACAAAAAGAAAAAAATGAAAGTGATGTTTTTACAAGAGTATGGATGGTATAAATCCAAAAGTGGTTGTTCTGGCAGAAGCAATATAATGAGGGAAAATAAAATATGTCTCTGGAATATTATATGTTTTGTAAGAACAAGTTGATGTTAATTTAATGTAAGTAGCTTGTCATTAGAAGACTGCATAGACCCTGTGAGAAACAGTAAAGAAGTAAATTACCAGACTGAGAGTTGGCATTTTATATACAAGTACCCATAGTAACAGGGATAGAAGCTCTTACTGAGCTCCACATAGTGGATTTCCCTTACTAAAGCTGATATATTTACCACTGCAGTCCTTACACTTGAACATAATCTCATTAAACAAGCAACCAGTGACTGGGACAGAAGCTGATCAATATCCACAGATTGAGTCACCTTGTTTGCCTGATCATGGACATCGCCTCTATAGTGGATGTTCTCTTGGGGATATTTGCATGAACAAACACATTCTCACACTCTGTGCTCTTTTCTAGAGATAAGAGGTAACACATATTCTAATCATAATACTTTGACATCAGTTTTTTTAATCTCGTTTTTTTAGCTCCTTACCCATAAGGCAACCTGTTTGAGAAAGTCAAGGTAGCAATTTATGTAAATTCATATACTTGCATGTAAACTCATCTTGTCTTCCAATCAAAGTGGATAATCACTTGCTGAAAGCAGTGCCCATTGGAAAGATTTTTCTTCATCATGTCTTTCAGGGTGATCTGTATAAACACCAACCTTCTCAGATTCTCTTAACCGCCCCCCCTCCTTTGGTCATTCTGGAAGTCAAAGAGAAACCTTTATTTTCAACAAATATGCCTACAAGTGATCAAGTTCATTGATCTACTGTAGACAAGT